GAATTTAGGGTATTTTGACGGCTCTAGTTGCCCCAGTCGCCCCAGGGGCAAATCGAATTAAGTGTTAGACTGTGAACCACAAATGAAGCCCTCACTCCGGAGAAAGTCAGATTCAACATGATGGCAATAGGTTTGACGTAGGTTTGTCTGATTATCCTGGAGAAGAATCTTGATGCAATCTGGTATTTCTCATAAACCTTACATCTATCAAAACTTTCTGTCAAATCACTGAGGCTCAAGCAGAGGGACAATTGTAGGATGACCCAGGACCGGGCCATGTTTTGTGCTGTTGCGCATAAGGTCTCAATGGGTTGGAGCCATGAGAAGGACATTACGCTTAGTGGAGTGGAGTGACACCAAACCATAGGGAAACGTTCGCCAGATGCAGCCACAGGGTCACACATAAGAACGATGGTCAAGATGTCACAAGACCTGACACTACTTCCATTGTTGTAAATGGGTCGTTATGAGTCAAAACAACAACAAAAAATTTCCACCACTCTATTAGGAAATATAAATAGTACTTTTCTAATATATGATGACGTAAAATATTTCCTAGGGTTCTTCTATCCATAGTCTATGTACGTTTCATCCAGCGATTGGGTGGGAGCATGTAAATAAGGTTTAAAGGACTCTAATTTGGGGATTGGTCCATTTTGCTATTCCATCAGGTATAAAATAGCATCTCAGAAACAGGAACGGAGAATCTCAAGAATGAAGAGCCACCAGCAGTATATACTCGATAGCTACCTGAAGTGGTAAAGGCAATAGAGGTACCAGAAGCTGCAGCCTGGGGACTTATGAGACAGAATAAAGAGCCATACTGAGACCATGAGACAGAGCCAGTCATGGGCTTCCCAGCCCAAGGAATGAATAAAACTGAGTGCCTTTGGGCAAAAACTTCTTTCAAATGGGGTTCCCTTTCAGCATTTGTTAATGCTAAGGAACTTTGTAATACTTGCCTAAGCAGGGCAAATGCTAGGGAGGAACCCCACCCCTTCCCAGTTGAGAGGTCAAGGGCTCTGCATGCCAGTATGGCTGAGAGAAGAGCTGCAAACCAAATGACCATATCCTTACTACGCGGTGGCCTTCACTGGTGTTACCTGGTTAGCTTCCAAGGTAAACCTCTATGACCGTGAGTGTAGTCTGTGAGTGCTGCATTGCCCTTGTGAAGAAATCCCAGTTGAGGATTCCTTTGGGTAGATGTGCAGTTGGGTTTTCTTTTGCTCTGTTCTAGCCAGAAGAGGTCAGACGTGGCCTCCGTGCCCTTCTCCAAATACTATGAACTATGAGAAGATGCCTATTCAAGAAACTTAATAGACTCCAAAGGGGATAGACTGAAAAATAAAAATCACCATGACTTATGTTAATGAAACTTTCAAAAACAAATGGAAAAAAAAATCCAGAGAGCCATTTGGGGAAAACAAAATGAGACCTAACAAGAGACGGATATAACGTCACCACGTATTCTTCATCTCATTCGTTGTGAAAATACACAAATCGTAACAAAGCTATTATGTTTCAGAAACAGAGTCATGATGCCATGGGCAGGTGCTCAACTCAACAAGGTCCCAATCGCCCAGTGGAAGTTGCAACAGATACAAGGTGTCTGTCGAGAATCTCTTATTCAAATGTGCCAGAGATTCCCTAATTTTAATTTAATCTGACAAGAATATTTTTAGTTTCACTACATCTTAGTAGTCTAAAGCATTTAAGAACAGTACATTATACCGGGACTCATTTTATATCATCTCCTCCCAAGGCCTTCTCTGTTCTCATCCGATAATTTGATTCAATTCCACAATAGTTTCCCAAAGATTTTTTTATCTATAACCTCTTTTGGGGTAACTCTATTTAAGAATAATTTTTTTTCAAGTTGCAAGTTGAAATAAGAAACTTGAATGATTAAAAGCTTGTCACTTGATCAGTCCTCTGATACACATTGGGATCGATCTGGTTGTCAACATTGTCTGTGTTTGGGTTGTTGTTTTCATATTGGGGTTTGCCTCTGTCGTATTTTGTTATTGTGGGTAGCCCTTTTGAATTTTTGTCCTATCTTTTTCTGTTCTGGGGTATATGAAACCCAGTATTGATGAACCTACAGAGACAATAAGTAGAATAAGAGTTCCTGGGTGGGGAGGGGTACAGGAGAGGAGGGGAACAGTAAAAGCTAGCTGATATCAAGGAGCTCAGAAAGGAAGAAAATGTTTTGAAATTGTATGATGCTGCTTGATGTGACTGAACTATGGGATGATGTAATATCTGTATTAGCTCTCAATAAAATGGTTTTGTAAAAGAAAGATTACGTAAATAAATAAATAAGGAACGTATTGCAAGTATTCTTAGGAAATGACTGTGCAAACAGGAGTGAGAAAATAGGGAGAGAGGCAGTGTATGGACTCCTGATGGATGTAGGAAATGGGACATCTGGAAGAACAGCAGGAGCCCCAGAACTGGCCAGCCAAAAAGTAAACAGCCAAAGTACTTATTCACAGACTGTCTCTAATACTGGACTTACATAATGTTTTCCCTAAACCCCTTCTTTCAGTCCTACTTCTGTAAAATCTGAGAGCATATGTTAAGAGCAATGATGAATAATAGCTCAAATAACATGATTAGATTTTTGAAGCACAATAAGGACACTAAAAAAGATCTTCTCTGCTAAGTGACATGGGATACAGAAATTACCATGTATCTGAAATCAAGAGATGCCAAGATTTCAGGGTGAATGAGACCAGAATAAAAATAATTTATGTAGATACACCTCTGCCAATAAATCATTCTTGCATATTAATCATAAGTACATATTTGGCGTGGCCTATCAAAACATGCATTAATTTTCAATACTATGTAAGTAGCATGGTTTAAAGGTACAGCTTGATTACGCATTAGAACGCAAGTGTGACTTGATGGCAACAGATACTGAGGTAGACATGAGCACTGGAACATATATTTTGATCCAGGAGTCACTGGTGACAGCTTCTATTCTGTCTTTATTAAACATTTTAGGCCATTAGGCCATAACAATTAGGCCATTTTAAATGACATGAAGAAAAGTTATCTTGAAAAATTGCACTTCTAAGGAATAGAAAAGTCAAGCATCTTACATTGCTTCTGGACTCATGATGCAGACAGCTCCTGGGCACTGGCACTTGCTCCTGTCATCATAAGGTACCCCCATACTCAGGCTCAGGAGTTGAACCATAACCACCGCCAGCGACTCCAGACTTATGGTTTTGGGGTGCTGAAAAGGAAGCGCATACACTAGTACACATGGACAGCAATTTATTTACCTGGAGCAGAACATGGTGGTCTTAAAAATTCATTAATAGAATGCAATAGAGGAATCTAATACAATAATCTATTTTAAGAAATAAAATCTGGAAATGTACTAAAATCTAAAACAGCGGTTCTCAACCTGTTGGTTGTGACCCATTTGGAGGTTGAACAACCCTTTCACAGAAGTCGTCTGATTCATAACAGTAGCAAAATGACAGTGATGAAATAGCAGCGAAAATAATTTTATGGTTGGGGGGGGAGGTGTCACCACAATATGAGGAACTGCATTAAAGGGTCGTGGCATTAGGAAGGTTGAGAACCACTGATCTAAAAGGATGATTATTTTATATTAGAGGAAGGAAAAAAAATAACCAGTGCAGATGGTTAGATGTATACTGTTGTTGTGAGGCGCCATTCAGTCCATTCAACTCATGGTGACCCCTTGAAAAGTAGAATGAAACTAGAGGGATGATGTTGAATTATCATGACAAAAATATCTCAAGATCAACTTTAAATTGGAATGCTATCTTTGATAAGATACTATCTTTACATATACTAGGAAATCCAGTCAGTAGCACCTACTCACTTATGCTGAGAAGCTACCTGGCCAACTGACTGGAAGAGACACAGATAGTTTCCATTACAAAGGAAAGTAATTCTACATAATGCAGAAATTATTGAATGATACGAATATTAAAATCACATGCAAGTAAAATTTTGCTGAAGATCATTCAACAACACTTGCAGCAGTATATTGATATTGACAGGGAACTTCCAGAAATTCAAACAAGATTCAGAAGAGGGCATAGAATGAAGAATATTCTTCTAATATCAGATGGATCTTAGATGAAAGCAGAGAATACATAATGATGTTTGCGTGTTTTATTGACTATTCAAAAGCATTAGACTATGTGGATCACAACAAACTATGGATACCATTGTGCAGAAAGCGAATTCCAGATCATGTCAATTGTTCTCATGCGGAACCTGTACATGAATCAAGTGACAGCCTTTTAGCAGAAAAATGGAATACTGTACGGTTTAAAATCATGAGAGCTATGTTTCAGGGTTTTATCCTCCACCATACTTATTCAATCTGCAGGCTGAGCAAATAATTCAATATAGAAATGAATGCTGCATCAGGATTAGAAGTAGGCTTATTAACAACTTGCAATATGCAGATAACACAACCTTGTTTATTGACAGTTAAGGACCTGAAACACTTGCTGATGAAGCTCAAAGACTGCAGCCTATAGTATGAATTAAAATTCAATGTAAACAAAAATCCTCACAACTGGACCAATGGTACATTTTGCGTGAGCCTACAGTCATGGAGGCAGTAGTCATGAAATCAAAGGACCCATTGCATTGGATAACTCTGTGAGGTCTAAGATGTGCCTGACCCAATGTATGTGCAAGTGGGACATTGAATAATTAAGACTGAAAGAGAATTGTTGTCTTTGAATTATGCTGTTTAGAAAGAGTATTAGAAGTACCATGAACTTTCACAAGAACAAACAAATCTACCTCGGAAGTTGCATAGTTAGAATATGCCTTAGGATGTTGAGACTTCATCTTTGGGCATGCAATCAGGAAAGACCAGTCCCGGGAAAAGGACAACATGCTTGGCAAATTGGAAGGGCAGTGAAAAAGAAGACCTTCAACAAGATGGACAACGAGTGTGATGATGGAATGGGTTTGGGCAGTGTTTAGTTCTACTGAAGAAGGGGTCACTATGAGTCAGAACCAATTGGACGACAGTTAACAACAATTAGAGCTGACAAGCTATCTAGGTTATATAAAACCTGAGTTTGTATACTCTCTGGCTTGCTTTGATTCAATCCAATAAGGAGATGGTAGTGGAAAAGTGAGAGTAAGTTTCTATATTACCATAACCTCAGGGAGATATGGATTGGAGAATTAAATTAAATTAAATTCCCAGCTTCTTTGTGGGACCATCAATACAGGACTCTCTAGCCTCTCCTGTGAGTCTGGAGTGGCCATCAAATCGAAACTTTCTTTTTTGTACCATTACAGCACGCAGTCAGCATCCCTTGCATCCATTAACCAATGATATATTTATCAAATTATCACATTCAAATGTACTGTATGCTGTTAGTTCTTTGAGCGATACTACACAACTGAAACAAGGGGAGGGAAATACTGATGGAAATTGAGTAGGCAGATCACTCTAGCAGAAAATGGAGTCTACTATATTTAAATAGCAGTTTGAGTAGGAGGATATTAATATTAGTATACTTCTTTAGATTATCTTGCTTTCAATGAGCATCTATAGTTCTCTTTTTAGAAACAGATTCTACATATGCCTTATAAATAGATCTTGTTAGTATTTCTCCAATTATGTACATTTTTGTCAATGAAATTCAATAATATCCACATATATTTACTGCTTTCAGTTATTGCTTTATATATATACATATATACATACAGATATATTATTTTGTGGTTAGGTGCATATTGGCTTAGGATTACTATAAATGAGTAAAACTGTATCATTTTAAATAAATTATTTATTATTCATATTGCATTATGCCTTAAGGAGTATTTGGCTGATTTATTCCGATAATTTAGCAGTTGAAGTGAAAATATTTTCATTTATTCCCATTACCATCTTTTTGGGATTATTATTCATTTCATTTTATTTTTGAAGGTTGTTGCCACACCTTTAAATTTATCACGTGGAACATAAAATTCTTAAAGCTTTTAATGCATCCATTTTATATTTATATCAATTAGTTTGCTTGTGTGATAAATTGCTTCTCCTTTCCTGTTTTCAAGATGCTTTGTTTTAGCTTTCAAGTGTGAAAGTGTGTTTGGGTCTAGATATATTTCGGTTTATCACACTGGCATTCATTGGGATTTTTATGCATTGATCCATTTACTTAGTGATTTTTCTAGACTACGTTTGCTAAAACTGCATCCCTTGTCATGGATATCAGTGCAATTTCTATTCCATTTGCTTGTGTTTGGCTACTATTTTGACAGAGTCTTATGGGGCTTCAGAAGACACAGAAAGGAAGAAAATAAAAGATTGGGGGTAAAAAAATCACTCGAATTTCAAGAGAGTAACCAAATCTCTCAGACTTTGCAGATTATGTCTTTGCTAGGGCACTCCTTCAACGTTAATCTGAGATTTTGACACAGCTGTCATTGACTATCCTTCCTGCTGCCATTGAATTTAGAGACCAGCCAGTGGTGAAAGCTTAGGGGTATTCCAAACCTTTTCAGAACACGCGTCCCATCCTTGGCATATTTGTGGCGTTCTAAATCCTTACCATTGATAGGCGCCCTGGTTTCCAAAGAAGCATTCCCAGCCTTTCGTACTGTGCTCCGACACGCTGTTATATGCGTCCCCCATCATCTTTGTCCTGTCTGGTTTTAAGTTTTTCATTCACCTTATGGTACTTTTAAACTATGCCCACCATTTTTCTTCCCTAAATTAATCCAGAGGTAAGGGGGCGGGGTGGGCATGGACAAATATTTGTGAAAAGGTCTTCTTTCGTCCTTCTGGAATGAGGGAACAAGGTTCCACAAAGATCGTATGAGCTCCTTTCTTCGAGTGTTGCTAACCTGATGGATCCAGGGTAGGTAAAAATGCCACATGTCTTTCTTCCTACTATCAACTTGAGTCATTCTCTATCAAGCATTTGTTTGATGGCTATACACTTTTGGCAATTTTCCAGGTTTCTCTCAAAAATTTGATCAATTTTTCTTTTTTTCTAATGCAAGGATCTATACTTGTAACTAACTACTCTGCCACATTAACTGATGCTACTCATTGCATATTTTCTTTACTCATGGACACAGTACTTCTTCACCTCTCTGAAGGTATTATTTAAAATGCCATTGTGGCAGTTGCATAATCTCCTGTCAACTTGTGAAGGGATGGAGTCTAGCCTGTCAATCAGGTCATTGTCAATGAGGCCTCTTTGTGGGCCTGGCCTTCTGAAGATTCTGGGAACTCCTATCTTCTTCCCTGGAGGTGCGACACACACTCTCTGCTCATCTTCCTGCTGACAAGACACATGGAGTCAAGCTGATGGAGTCTGAGCACTAGAGCTGGAGGAGCCACGTGTAGACCCCTGTCAGCACTGAGATGTTTCCACAGCCACTGGATCCACAATACTTTCCACCCCCTGGCCTGTGATCTTCCTGCATTCGGTGTCACTGTATGTTTTGTATGATTCTGAGGAAGGAATGTATAGATTGATATCAGACTTATAGGCTAATATCAGACTTATGGGCTTGATCTGGCCTGGCCTGGGATATTTTCTTAATTTTCAATTACTCTTATATACATGAGTGTCTATGAATTTGTCTCTCTAGTCAAACCAGTCTAACACAGTCATGGCATTTTTACTCTATATGCATGGGTTTTGTTTCTTTTTTTCTTACAAGATTTCCCAGGCTCTTATTTATAACTATTCGTTTTTAACTTTCCCTTAGACATTTCTCTCAGATATCTGGTAATTCTGCTTATAATTATCCAGAAAAAACAAACAATAACATTAAAATCCATTGTAATTGAGTTAATTCCAACTAATAGCAACCCTATCATAAAATAGCCCTGCCTTGTAGGGTTTGCAAAGCTGTACATCTTAACAGAAGCAAATTATCATATCTATTTCTCCTACAGTGGGAAAAAGTCTTTTGGTTAGCAGCTAGTACATGAATTCTTATGACACCAGCATTCCTCAGTAACATCAGGCTGCTTACCGAACTATCTCCCAGCTTTTGCCTTTCAGTATGTGTGTTGTGGGAGAAATTTAATGCAGAAAACCCTCAAAGCCAGTAGCTTTAATTTATCTTACTGCCATATTCCTCCCTCATATTCTGTCTTTTGACTCCCTATTGATAGTAAAGATTTTGTTGCTAGAATTTCTGGAGTAATATGTGTAAGATAAGTTAGAATCTCAGTAAGCAGCATTTCATATGTATCTAGTT